ATAGGTAAGTGAGTGTATGTTACTGGACCTTTAGGCTGTGAAAAGACGTGTTGGGATGACTGCAATGTGGTTTGAATTGCCAACCATGTAGAGGGCGTGTCAGCCATCCTTAACGCTATAATGCTTGCAGTCGGGAGCACAGTACATAACAATATTCAACTGCCCCATGGCGGAAAGAGGAAAAAGAAAACCCTCAGGAGCTGAGTATCGTAAATGAAAGGCTGAGAAGGAAAAGGACCAAGCAAAACAGCAGGGATCCTTCCAGAAATATCTTCTCTTTAATCCAAATAAAGATGGAAGCAGTTCACAGCAGCCAGATGAAGGAGGTTAGCTCACATCCACAAAAAAGCAGTTTGGAAACTCAAGATGATGGAAATTTACTTCTAGATGAAGGCAGTTCACAGCATCAGACTGATATGGAAGTGGAGAAAATTTATTCACCTTCAGAGAGACATGCAGAAATTGAAGTAAGTGAAGTAGAAGAAAGAAAGGATGAGGAAGTTACAAACAAGTTACAGTCTGGGGGCCAGGTTCATGGCCCAGATGTGATGACAATGATGACAGCGGCAAATTCTTGTGGAACATGGACCCGAACAAGTTCATGAATTTCCCTTCCCTAAGGATGGAAATAAAAGAAAATTCTCTGCTCAACATTACAAGAGGAAACTCATTAATGAGGAAGACATTCATCGAAACTGGTTATAATATTAAGTGTAGAAAGACTCTGTGTTTTTCTTTTGCTGCAAGTTGTTTAAAAATCAAGCAATTGGTACATCATTTACTGAAAATGGTTCAAAGGACTGGAAAAACATATCTTCAATTCTCTCTTCACATGAAAGAAGTACAGAACATTTGGCATGTTTTCAAAATTGGAAAGAACTTGAATTATGATTGAAAAAATTGGGGGGGAGGGATAGCTCAGTGGTTTGAGCATTGGCCTGCTAAACCCAGGGTTGTGAGTTCAATGCTTGAGGGGGACATTTAGGGAACTGGGGTAAAAAAATCTGTCTGGGGATTGGTCCTGCTTTGAGCAGGGGGTTGGACTAGATGATCTCCTGAGGTCCCTTCCAACCCTGATATTCTATGATTCTATGAAAAGGAAAAACCATTGATGAAGAAAATTTACGTGTGTTCAAGGAAAAAGAAGAATATTGGCAACAAATATTAGAACGTCTGATTGCTTTAGTGAGAGTTCTTGGTGGGCAAAATTTAGCATTCCGCGGTCACAGTAGAAATGAAAAATTATACACTCCAGGTAATGGAAACTTTTAAAGATTTGTTGAATACCTAGCTTTGTTTGATACAATCATGAAGGAGCATCTATGTAAAATAACTGATCATGAAACACAGTTTCATTACTTAAGAAAAAATATGCAGAATGAACTGATTCAAATCCTAGCAAATGCCATTAAAAAGAAAATTGTAGAAGCTGCCCATTCTGCAAAATACTTTTCAATAATACTCAACTGTACACCAGATGTGAGTCATGTTAAACAAATGATGATGATCATTCATTTTGTGAATATGGAAAAGTCTGCAGATGAAGATAATGTTGAAATGCTCATAAAGGAACATTTTTGGGGTTTCATACCACTGAAGGAGACAACTGGAGCATTTATGACTGAAACTATTCTACAATGTCATTATCTGTTGAAAACTTACGTGGCCAAGGCTATGATAATAGGAATAATATGAAGGGTAAAGACAATGGTGTGAAAAGGAGAATGATGGAAATCAATCCTAGGGCCTTTTTTGTTCCTTGCAGTGCGCATTCTCTGAATTTGGTTGTCAACGATGCTGCTAGATGCTGTTTGGAGGCAAGCAGTGTCTTTGACCTGGTGCAACGTGTTTATGCGTTTTTCTCAGGCTCAACACGCCATTGGGAGATTCTGACTCGCCATGTGAATTCTCTAACTGTGAAACCACTTAGTCAGACAAGATGGGAGAGTCGCATTGATGCTTTGAAGCCTCTTCGCTATGAACTTGGAAACATTTCTGATGCCCTAATTGAAATTTCTGATGATGCTACCTTTACTGGATCATCTGGCAATACGGCATGTTCAGATGCAGAAGCTCTTGCAAATGGCCTTTCCAAGTTCAAATTTGTGACTTCACTCATTTTGTGGTATAATATCCTTTTCGAGATTAACCTCACTAGTAAGCAGCTTTAGGAAAAACTTGAACATACATTCTGCTACTCAAAAACTGTAGCAAACTAAAAATGTTGTGGAGGAATTCAGAAGTGATGAAGAGTTCGAAAGAACACTGGTAGATTCTCTTGAGCTTGCTGAAGAAATAGACTTTCCGACAGAATTTGAACCAGAGCCAGTTCGCATTCGGCAAAAGAAACAGCAGTTTTCGTATGAAGGATGAGACACACCCATTTAGAACCCAAAACAAAGGTTCAAAGTGAATTTCTACTTCCCAGTCCTTGATACTGCTATTCACTCGGTTGACGCAAGATTTCAACAGATGCAGCAACTAGACTCAGTATTTGGCGTTCTATATAATATCCACAGCTTGCAAAAGAAAACAGCAAAACAGATAAGAGAATTTTGTATAAAACTGGAGTCAGCATTGACTCACGAGAATTCAAAAGACATTGATGCTACAGATTTGTGTAGTGAGCTTCAGGCTTTTCAGACAACTTAAGAAACATTCCACTCCTGAAGAAGCACTGAAGTTTGTTTGTGAAAATAAAGTCACAGACAGTTTTCCAAACATTTTTATAACTCTACGCATTCTTTTAACTTTGTCAGTTTCCATAGCTAGTGGGGAATGTAGCTTCTCAAAGTTAAACTTGATAAAAACATATCTGGCTCATTCTCACGGCCAGCCCTGTCAATGCATCCAGAGGTGAATGGATATGTATCGAAGAAGCATGCTGCTCTCATATACAGGAGAACATTTTCAAACCAGTTTCTAAATAATGCCCTCTGTGAGTGCATTCCTTTTTATGACTAAATAGATGAAGGTGCTTTGAAAATTTGTCTGCTTTGAAAATTTGTTAAAAGATCGGTGAAGGGGTTAAAAACAAAAAGGTCCCTTGACTCCAGCTTAGTTTTGCTTCTTAAGCTGCCTAGCATAATAGTAACCTTTTAACAGTCCCATCTTTAACACTGAAGTGAGCCTTTTTGCAGCTGCTCCAGCCTAGGGTTACCATATTTCAGCAAGCAAAAAAGAGGACGGGAGGAGCCCCGCCCCCGTCCTGCCCTAACCCCGCCCCTGCCCCTCCCACTTCCCACCCCCTTCAGAACCCCCAACCCTCCCCCGTTCCTTGTCCCCTGACTGCCCCCTCCTGGGACCCCTGCCCCTAACTGCCCCCCAGGACTCCACCCCCTACCTAAGCCTCCCTGCCTCTTGTCCCCTGACTGCCCCCTCCTGAGACCCTCCCCCCATCCTAACTGGCCCCCTAGGACTCTACCCCCTACCTGTACCCTGATTGCCCCAACCCTTATCCACACCGCCACCCCCAGACAGACCCCTGGGACTCCCACGCCCCA